GACAGGGACGGCGTAGAAAGTTGACCTGAGAGGAATTTCTCTACGAAAAAAAAACGAAACAAAAATGTGGGGACGGTCGTCCTATTTGTATTTTTTTTGAATTAATAAAATAGACTATTGTCTTTACCTGAGTGATGTCGTTGTCTGAGTAAAAGGCACAAAGCTCACTGTCACATTTTCGTTTAAAAGCTTGTTTTATGTAAACAAAAAAATATTGGTTGTGTGACGTATCCTGCAGATCGACAGGGAAGTTTAATATTACTGTATAAAATAAACAAAATTTAATAAAAAATTTTTAATATGAGCTCATCTAAGCACATAAATATAAATATAAATGTAAATATAAATAATTACAGCAAATACAGCAACAGGATCAAATGAAGGTAATTCATAAATTGTGACTTGATATGGTTTTCCGGCGCCCACAGCTAAAAGTGTCTTTGACGGATTAACGGCAATACTACGGATTCCTGAACAATTTCCGTTATCTTGATTATTATTATTATTATTAGCGGTGATGGTGGTGATATTGCTATTATTACTACTATTAATAGTACTAATAATATTACTAATAATACTATTATTATTATTGATGTTATTGTTATTATTTATTCTATCTTCTTCCGTTACCAATGGAATTTCAAATCTTTTATTATTTTGTATGTTAAGTATTAAAAGCTTTTCTCATAACAACAAAAAAAAAAAATTAATTGAAATCTACAAATTTATAATATTATTGATTCAATAACATAATAATATATAATACCTTGTTACATTTGGTTCCTATAACAATTTCGTCATATGATATCCAATGCGATGAAAATATTTTATCATGGTTTTCCATATTTATTTCAGATTCTTGAATTAATTGTGGTATTTTACTTGAAACATATTTTGAATAATCTCTTGGAATACTAACAAATACACACATATTGAATGATTGATTAATTAATTCGTAGATGATTGAATTACTTCAGAGCGATTATAATAATTACTTAACGTACTATGGTGAATTTAAATTTACTTCTCGTCCGTACAAATAATCTGTTATTCGTTCGTGTTTTTCCTCAGGAAAGCTTGTTTTTGAAATTAAAAAAAAAAACTTAAAATTAATAAATAATATTCATAAAGTTATAATGTCAACCACCTCCTCCCTATTCATTATTATAATAATAAAAATACCTCCAAGGTTTTACTTCTGGTTGTTTAGAAAAAAAGGGCAGTTTCAATATTGCCATTTTTATGAGTATGTTTCTTTAAAAACCCAAATTTATATTTAAAAGTCTACCGAAAAACTAAGTTGTTAATAATATTCTTGAAAATAATTGTGCGAAAAAAGGAGCTGGTGATTTATTATTCAATGAAAATATGTTTAAAAAAATTAAAGGAGTGTGTATATAGGGAATGACAATAAGAAATTAAGACTGAAAAATTATATCTATGTATTTTTAAATGAGTTAATCAAACAAAAAGAAAGAAAATAAAGATAGATAAAATGATCTAAAGAAAAGGAATGTGAAATTTGGGAAACCCTTTTTTATTAAACGTATATATATAAACAATTATTTTATTTATTTAAAAAGA